TTAAAAGCCTTCACAAAAGCAGGCGATACAAATGAATGCCTTTTAAGAATATTGTTTCACATTTAAAATATTTTATAAACTTRTGATAAATGCATTATGTTAACCTCTAAACTTAAATAACAGTACTATTTATGTTGCTGCTTTTAGTTTAGACAACAACAATAAACTACAGAGTACTAATACAKAAAATTAGGCAGATAAAGCGGACTTTCGAGGGACTGCAAAGAAGTAAAAGTCTCTGTCCTTTGGCTACCTGTTCCTGCTTTCAGAGGAAACAATCTCAGACATTATGATTTCCGTTTACAGCAAAAGGAGCCAAGTTAATAAAACATCCGGGAGGGAGAGGGGGCAGAGGTTACAGTTCAGCTCTGCCAGTGACACACTGACCACTGCTTGTTTACCTCAGTGGTCAATTAACAGAAATAATGAACTGTTTGATAATTAGGTGTTCAGAATGTGAAACGGTACAAAACCATTTATAACCTATTTGATATAAAAATAATCAGAAATGATCAATTCTGTGTTTATATCCTGAACACTGATGAATTAAGAGCTCCATCAAAAAATAACTGCAATAAAAATGATGTAAGAAATTACATATTTTCACCACTATGAAGTCAAATTTAATAATAATTAAATTTAGTCTCTGTTTTGGAGACCTTAAATATATTTTTTACTATTAGATAAAGTACTTGGAAATAGCTGAGGCTGTTTAAATATATGTCACAACAGCCTGCCGTAAACCTCCAGTGTTGCAGCCGGAGGTGATGAGAGAAGCAGGAGCTTCTTTACTGAACCTGAGGCGGCTCATGGGGCTTTCTGCAGACACAACAGGAAAAAAGTTGTGTTTCCTTGTTCCTGAATATATCCTCCAGTCTGTGGGATTCTCCTTTGTGTCGCCTCAGAGGGCTGTGACTCTAATTTAGGAATCTGTGAGGCTTTGTGGGGCAAGGCTTTAAAAGCTCTGTGTCATGTTTTTATCACTGTTCTGTTTTACTAAAGAAACATGCTTCCTGATTCATTTTGTGACGTCAACATTAGCCAGTTGCCCCTAAAGCAGAGTATGAACACCCAGGTAAGATCGAGGTCAGATTGAAATGTTTCTGGACCTTTCAGTCTTAAGTCCTGTTTGAGAACTGATTCACTGATCAGAACACACCTCTGCTTCTGAGCTAAGTTGGTTTAATCTGATTATCTTGCCTCTCACTATTATRCATGTTTGCATTATCACCAGGAGAAGAACTGTGAAAAGGCTGTTTTGCGTGGTGTGTATAAGAACATGCATAGAGAAAACATTTTCAGCAACACATTTTTTGCACAATGTCTATTACTTTACTGTTAATTTTATATGACAAAAAACACAGGCATAATTAGCAAGGGGGGTTAGGGGTTTAGGGGACCCCCACAAGAATTTGATCCAGTCAATATGAACCCCAAATAAAATGACATCATTTCCTCAAACACAATAGGAATGAACCAGTTAAGACAGATGCAACTCTCTTGTTGTCTTTATGTAACTTTGAACTGATTTAAATATTTAAGATGTCATATATGTACATTTCAGCATAATTGACATGCAGGCTTTTACATCATACCCCCCGCAATGGTAGAACTACATCATGCCCTTGWGTAAAAACATTATTAAGCTTACTTATTTCTCTAATAACAGCTGTAATTTCTAAGACTTATATTCTAAAAAGACAAATGTCACATTTTCTCACCAGTTTTCCTATCAGTTTGTGTGCACAGGAGGTGCAGATGCAACATTTTCCAGTGTATTGTTTGTGGGAAATCAACAGAAAACATAGGACATTTTATTAAAGCTTGCTTTTAATTTACCTCATCTCATAAGATGAACAGGATCAAAAGATGTCAGAGAAAATACTCTAGATTAAAACCGTCTGAACCAGTTCTGCTGAATACTTCAGTCTGAAGTACAAAACGTTTTTACTTTTTGCATAATTAAAAAGCTTTTAGTGATTTGATTTAAAAGCATCATGAACAAACAAATGTAAGTATAACTTGGTTCAAATATTAATGTTTACAAGCAACGAGTAAACCTTTTTCACAGTTTTACATTAAACATTATCTTTACCTTGTTAATATTGGAAAACTTTGTATTGCATCATATTATATATATATATATATATATATGTATGTATAAATAACNCTTTGTATTGCATCATATTATATATATATATATAAATCCATGTATGTATAAATAACAAATAAATAACAGAAGATTTGTCTAATTATGCATGTTTTGTGCTCTCATATTATTTGGTAAAAGTCAGGAAGCAAGTTACAGCCACCAGTTTGATTTCTTGATAATTTATTGCTGTTTTAAATGATATTATACGTGCTTTTTTTATTTGTTTTGTTTGTGTGTGTTTTGCTCTGTTTTAATAAAGCTTATTGTGTTACACTTTGTTGTATGAAAGATTCACAGATAAAGTTTGATAGATATATTGATTGAACTCAAACAAAGGTTTTTAGTGGGTTTATCCTTAACAAAAAGTCGTATACCACAAGTACATGTCATACTTCACAGTATAGTTCCTAAAGTGTACTTTTACTTTTAGCCAAGTAGGTAACAAACTTTAAGTTTATCTCTGATAAGTACAGAAAGAGTAAATTGAAGATTTACTCTCTTTTATTGTTTTGTTTAAATATATAATAAAAGTATATAAATATGCATGGCAGATCAATAGTTTAATGTCACGACCAGAACTGAAATGTTTTTAGAAATTTCAGTAGCAACATCCAGACTAAAATATTTATCTTGATGATTAAAGCTGCTTAATTTTCCAGAAGTCACATTTTGCAGATTCTACATATAAAAAGTTATATTTGCAGRTCAGCATCTGAAGCTCACCGCTGTTGTCTCAGGAGTGCAGCAGCTGTTTTGGATGCTGGATATCCCTCCCAGGAGGAATTATAAGTAACAATGGGCATGTTTAAGTTTAGCAGCACTGGGCACACGTGAGTTAGGAATAGACAACAGATCTTCTGCTGAATGAGGGGCAGGACATGTCCGGTGAATGTGAGTCACCTGTTGCTGCCCTGCAGAGCAGCGCGGCTCTCTGCTGCCGTACATCAGTCACAGGGAGCAGCGGGCCAACGTGCTGCTACCTTACATGGCCGTGCGGCTCTTCAGCTGCCCTCCACTGTACACAGACCCACAGTTCTGTTCGCAGAGATTGTTTAGCTGTGCGTGACGAGACGCTGGAACATTTAGAGCTGCAAGGTGTCTCATCGGGGGGAAATTCACACGAATGCATTCCAGTCTAAAGTTATAGAGCTCTGACACATTTTAATCTAAGTTTAGTTTGTTTATTACATGTTTTATGCATGAACCAGCTATTGGACACATTTTTACTTTTTTTCCATTTTGCTTTGCTGGTTTAAAAGAAAATGGCATCTGTTCTAACAACTCAAACAAGATTTTTTTCCTTGAAAAAATAAACACATCTGTGAAAAAAAAAGCCCTAAAACGTCTATATTTTACCTATCAGGTAAAAAACACAATTCCTAATACTAAATATATACTAAAAGTCATTTTATCATTTTAGTCATTTTATCACTGGGCAGCATTTCAGGACAGTGGTCAGGGCTAGCAAGAAGGTTGCAGGTTTGCTTCCTTTTCTCTGTTGTGTGTGCATGTTCTACATGTGCACATGTGGGTTTTCTCTGGGTACAGACCAAAAACACACACACTGTACTTGCACAATGACATAAGTAGGCACCAGCTGAAAAGGAAAGTGTAGGTAAAAAAAAAAGATGGCTAGATGTTTATTCATTGAGTCGACATGAGTTTATTGAGAATTTT